ATTTTTTCAACGATTCCTTTTTCTTCTTCTTTTTTTTTTCTTTGGTTTTTTTTTATAGCTCTCTTTTTTCTTATTCGGGTATCCATGAGATCCGAAGTATGCACGGGTTTACGCGACATCCCTCATATCACTTCTACCTATAGCCTTTTCCACAGTTTCTTTTAAAGGCTGAAGGGAAGAGAGAAGGAAGGAATCATACTTTGAAAAAGTGCAGTGTCTTGTGCGGCTCGAAGAAGAAGTCTAGTCCAATGTATTCTAACTCCCAAGGTAAGAGACTAAGTCCAATTAAGTCCTGATAAAAGTAGAGACAACGTTAGATCAACTGGATATCCAATGAATAAGGGCCTTCAGGATTGTTGATACAGCTCATAGTCATTCCAAACTTCGGTTCTTAGATCAAGCATAATCAAAAGTCATAAGAGTGTTAATCCAAATCAGAGAACCCCTTAGACTGAGTTCATAGTTCCCAACAAAAATTTTGACTCAATAAAACAAATTCTTTTTGGACTGACTCGATAAAACTGCAAAAGAATAAACAATGTGAGTAACTACCTCCCCCAGACTTAAACAACACTGTCCCTAGTGTTGCCAAGCCTAAGATTGGCAAATAAAAGAAAATAAAACTAAAATAAATGCAAAAGAAATAGAAAAAACTCACAAGTGGGTTGCCTCCCACTAAGCGCTTGTTTTCAGTTATTAGCTTGACTTTGTCGGGGTTCATGCATCCGGTTGGTCAGAAAGCGGCACTAAATGCCTCCGAGAATAGTGTCTCATCATCCAAGGTGGTTTATAAGCATTAGGTGTAGGAGATCGACCAAGTACACGAGGAACAGCAGCAGGGCATAGTCTAGGTATGGGTAGTGAAGCTTCCCGATTCAAAACAGGGCTCAAGATTGCAGTAGTAAGATCAACCCGAAAACCATCCATTTTTGGCAAGTTCGGACTGTCGTGGCGAGGGGTGTCGATCGACACCATGGTGGTGTCGCTCGACACTGATCCTGATGCTTGTGTTTCAGCACTTTTTCTGCAATTTGTCTCAGCGATCCTCATCTCTAGCACAAAAACATCATCTTCCAATAACTTAGCAGTAGCTAGACCTTCGCTTTGGTCCCTAGCAGTAATATCTTCTGAATACTCTATGACTGCCACATCATCCATGGCTTCCTCTAGAGAAAAAGTCTGGCCATCAATAGTAGGTGCTCTCCTTAACTTGTCCATGTCAAAGTTCATAACCAAATCACCAACATGCAGTCCAATCTTCCCTTTCTGAACATCTATAAGAGCACCAGCGGTAGCCAAGAAAGATATCCCAAGGATAATAGGATCCTGAGGTTCTTCGCTATACTTCAAAACCACAAAGTCTGTAGGAATTATGCATTCACCAATCCTTATTAGAACATTCTCTAAAAGACCTTCGGGAATTCTTTTAGACCTATCAGCTAGGATAAGAGAGATCCTAGTAGGCTTGAAATCTGTCAACCCAAGTCTCACAGCAACAGAGTATGGTATCAAGTTGATACCTGAGCCAAGATCACAAAGAGAGTGAGGAAATCTCTCTGTGAAGATAGAGCAGTCTAGCACGAAACTTCCTGGATCAGATAACTTCTCTGGAATCTTGCTCTGAATCATGGCACTAACTTTTTCAGAAACAAACACTTTCTTCTTCTTCTTCTCTTTCTTACTCTGCGGGGTCTGTTTCAAGAAGATAGCACCCATGTCTCTAGCCAGCAAAGCTCCTTCCTCAGGGCTCACTTCATTTTGGACCATCCTCTTAACACACTGCTTAAGCATAGGTGAATCACGATCTGCATGATCTAAATGAATCTCATTGATCACCTTTTCCATCATTGCCTTGCATCGAGATTCCTCTATCTCCTGTTTAGACTTCCTAGGCTTTGGAAAAGGAACCTTAGGCTTGTAGATATTTTCTGTAGATAGTCACAGAGTTTCAAGAGAATTTGGGTTTGTCTGAGCGGGATGTCGATCGATACAGGGTTCTGCTGTCGATACCTTAGTGTCGATCTCGGTCGGTATCGGTCCGTCGGGGACCAAATTCTTGAGAACTGATGTAGGTGTCGATCGACACCTTGAGATGGTGTCGAGCGACACCTGCTGTGCAAGTGCGGTTTCATCATCGTCACTTGTTTCCTCCTCCCAAACATCATCTCCATCCCTAATCAAAATGGCATTGCATCCTTCTCGTTTCTTTACAGTTCCAGTAGTCTGTGCAACCTTAACGTCCAACTTGTTGGTAAAGGTGCTCAAAGCTTCTATCTTGCCATTTAGATCAGTATATAATGCATCCATCTTCCCGTTGAAATCCACTGTCATGTTCTGCTGACCCGCTAGAATCTGTTCTAGCATGGATTTCATCTCAGTATCTGCAGATGGAGGAGGAGGCGACTGGTAAGAAGAATGTCCATAGGTTCTGACGAAACTGATGTTGCCTTTCTGACCATACCCATTGTCGTGCCGGTTACCATGTGTGTTACCAAACTTCTGACCCAAATATCCAGCTCCACTGACGTAATTCACGCCTTCTTCTTCATCCGCACCTGGTTCAACTGCCTCAACCTCAGCAGCAAACTTAACAGTCTTCTTGGAAACAAGAAGGTTATGCACAGAATCGAGCTTTGCCTTAACTTCAGCAAGTTGAACACCATCCATGTTTTGAGCTAGCTTCTTCCTCTCAAAATCAGCAACTTTAGTGCTGTTGCTGGAAGCTAAATTCTCAATCAGTTTGGTGGCTTGAGCTGGAGACCTTGTATTGTAGTTGCCATTACTTGCAGCATCTAAAGCCATCTGATATCTCCAATCCAATCCTCTATAAAAGATTCCCAACAGCTGAAATTTGTCATAACCATGGTGTGGACAATCTCTCTGATACCCCTTAAAACGCACCCAAGCAACCTTGAAAGCCTCTGAGATCCCTTGAGAAAAGGTAGAAATCTTTTTCCGCAACTCCTCTGATCTCGCATCATCATAAAAGTTG